ATCTCCTACAATAATAGCAGTGTCCAGAAACACAGATGCTGTCAAAGATGTAGTGATTGGAACGCTCATGTACTGCTGGTGTTGCCGACAAAAAGTACAGCCACCGTGAAAACCAGTATGGGCTTCTTTAACCTATTGGAATGGAAATACCATCTGATTTAACAATCCCATTGCAAGGTATGTATCTCAGCAAAACAAGAGCTGTGCCACCTGTGTTCATTGCAGCATCACTTGCAATAGCAAACGGATGCTACATGAGTAAATGAAACCTTTTCCTTTTGAAAACTACTTTTTTTGTTGTTTAAAAATTACTCTTAATAACTCATGTGAAGAAAAAAGACAAATCTTTTCTTTTTCTCAGTCGTCATCTGAGGGAAGAGGAAACTGTTTTTCCCTCAGATACTTTGGTCTAGATTTCTTCCTCATCTTTGAGGCATATCGCAGATAGATGTTTTTATTTATTTATTTTTCATTTTCTTTTATGCGTATTATAGATAAATGTTTGTTGAAGGAATACTGCATTCAGCAAAAAGTACTCAGGAAAACACGACTGTTTTGTAAGCTATCAAATTACAGGTAGAGTGAAACAGGTCAGGCTCCTTAGGCAGCAAGCAATTGGAGTTGGTGTACCGTTGGCACCGCGAGCCCGACTTTCCTTTCTCTGTTATTGCTGCAACATCTCACACCAACACGGGCTTCCAAGCAGCTGGCCACAACAGTTTCCCTTTTCTGAACGGGGCCAAAAAGTAGATGCAGTCTCGCTGAAGATTCAAATGAATCTTATCTGTCAAATGGTACTTCAGTGTACTCAGAGTTCCAAAACTTGAGATATAACACTGTGAAACGTGAGCCCACACCCCAGGGCCCCAGCGCAGAAGCAAAACGAGGCCACTCTGTGACTTAGAATTGAAAATTGTCCAGGCTTATCTAGTTAGTACTGGCTTCTTTGGGTCCAGAGCTGTGAGTTTTGGAGCCCTTTAAAACTCTGTATATATGCCTTTTTTAATTTGTTTCTTGGCAAGCGGAGATGGGGGAAGGTAGAGGAAGGTTTTCCTATTAGAAATGGAAAATGTACAGTATATACTCGCGTATAAGTCGAGTTTTTTAAAGCACATTGTTAATGCAGTTTTTGTGGTAAAATTAGGTGCCTTGGCTGATATTCGGGTCAGCTTATACTCAAGTATATACGATAAATAAGATAATTAGTTTAAATGGTAAGAAAATATGTACTACATGGTTCTCTCTTTGAATGCAACCCCCTTTCATGGGATATATTTAAAATCTTATGCCCACTAATTATATGGATTATAGGAGAACTGGTGCTCAGTGGTTCAAGCATTCAGCTGCTCCCCGGGAGAAAGATGTGGCAGTCTGCGTCTGCAGAGTTGACAGCCGTGGACGCCCTCTGGGCTGGTGCTGTTCTGCCCTGTAGCATTGCCGGCATTGGGATCACCTTACTATAAAGGGGCTTCTATGGATTTGGGGCAAGGAGGCTGTCACCAAAGCAGTTGCATTTGTTTTGGGAAAACAGTCGAGACTGCCTTGGTGAGTGACTACATACAGGTGTCTCCTTTCTTCTTTGGGGGCTAGTTCTTGCTTAGCCTTGTGCTAAAGATACCCTGGGTCCAGCTGGACACAGGCTGGGCAGTTCAGCCTCTGCTTGTCACTAATGACCAGCCCAGTCCCAAATGAGCAGGACTGGGTTGTTTTGCTGTTGAATTGCCCCCATTCTTCTCCTTGGTTCGCTGAATGATACATCTTGTGGAGGAATCGTATCAAAGCAAGGATTGAATCACGGAGAGTATTTAGAACAAGTGAATTGACTAAAATGACGCATGTGCGTCTCTAAAGGTGTCTCCGTGTGGGAGAATTTCTATGGTAACACTGTTAGAACAAAGATGATGAGGAGAGCAGTTTGAGTCATGACTGCTCATCCTCCACCCCCAGGATGTGTACACACACACACACACACACACACACACACCTCATTACAACACAAAACCAAAAACCGCCCTTGATCTGATTGCCTCTGAGGAACTGGCGTGGAGGCCCTGTCTGGTCTCCTTCAGCTACCCCACGGGGAAGTAGAATCCATCCCTGCATCTGTGCCATGCTGATTCCCGCAAGGCCCAGGGCAGACACACCTCTACCCTCCACCCTCCCGTATCCTCTCGTGGCCCCAACCATTCCTCCCACACAGAGTTGCCTTTAATAATCGCTTGCCTCCTCTGTGGCCTTTAATATTTTATTGCAATGGTCGCATAGAATTCACAGAGAATACTCATAAATACAGGGTTTGCTAGGGAAGCTGATAAACTCCCTGTCAGGATTAGGTGTCCAGCTAGCATTGTGTGAAAGAAGCCAGACCCCAAGGCATCTGTGCTAAATGGTTCTACTTGCATGAGCGAGAGCAGAACAGGGGTGGAAAGGGGATGCTGACTGAGATGGAGGACCAAAGTAGGATGCTGTCGTTCTGTATCAAATGTTCTGATTGGATCTGAAAGGAAGCCATACTGATGCGCACATACATGTGCCAAGCTTCTTTACTGGATGTGTGTTTTCCTAATGAAAAATTAAACACAAGGGGAAGATCAAATAAATGATCTGTGATCATGTCCATGCATGATGAGTCCACTTTTAGGTGTTGCAGTGATCCTCTGGCAATGTGATAATGTGAAGTGGTGACAGGTTACACTTTGTGGCAAGATGATTCAAAGCAGGTGGAAGTATCAACAAGAAACAAATTGGCCACGAGTAGAGACTTAAACTGAAGCTAGGTGATTCACAGAACATAAAGACAGCATTCTTTGCCGTCCATTCACTCACTGCTTCATATTCATTGGATCCCTGCTGTGCATAAGACCCTAGGATGACAGAGGACGGAGAGAAAGTAGCAGCCTAGAGGAAAAGACCGATATTTCGACACAATTGTCACGTAATGGGATAAACCCACCGCACACCTACTGCCGACAAGTGGATTCCAACTCAGAGTGAGCACACAGCCTCATCTCTTTTCAGTGGGGCCTCTATGGAGTTCCATGACTCGAGAGAAGCTCCCACATGCTACATGCTCTATATGCCAACAGGCCTCCTGCAGGAGGGAGAGCCTGTGAGAGCACTGCCCACCCAGTGGGAGAGACTAGCAAAACCAAATGTCTGTTTGGGTGCAGAGAGCAGGAAAGAGTCTTCACAATAGAGCTCATATTTGACGTGGGCTGATGAGTGCTGCTTGGGTATCACATACCGATTGACCTTCATATATATAAATTAGACCTAGAAGTTAAATATATATGTGTGTGTGCTAGAGATGTACCTGTTATATATATAAAATAAAACTTCCTCTATATAATGTGCATAATATAGGTTTAAGTATCATATTAAGTGAGAGTAAAGAGCTAGTTTACTCTGTTAGAGATTGGATAAGTATTAAATAGATGAGATAAAAATTGTAGCAGAAACTTAACTTCCCTGATAAATTGAATCCCTAATCTATCTGATCTCATCTCATCTCTGTCTCTGTATCATTCCTCTCTCTTTCGCTCTCTCTCACATTCATGTACACACACACATCAAACAAAGTATATGCAAAGAAGTTTTCTATATCCTTTTCTTTCTCTCTTACACACACACACACACACACACACACACACACACGCACTACACTCTAAGAGAAACGAAGATGTGTATTCTGTATGACTCAGCAGGGACCCCATAGAGATATTTGGACTGGCCTGCAAAAATATACATATAAAGCTGCCCCGAAGTATGTGGGATAGATACGTGGGTGTGTATACGCACACGAGAGACCCCCATGCTCTCCCTCCCCACTTACCGCAGCCGCCACACAGTCTCACACACTGACTACCCAGTAAGCGATTGATGGGCTAAATAAAGTACCGTGTCTTTTTTTATAGTGGCCATGTATTCGGGGCATACCATCAAAATCAGGAAATCACTTGTTTTCATTCAAGGGCTTTTCCTTTTACAACAACTTCCAGATCCCATCCCATCCTTCTGACCGCTTCCTTGGCGGGCCGGCAGATAGAGATCTGCCTGGTGAGCAACTCCTGATTTCGAAGCAGAGAGAGTGTACTCTTGACATTCTACCAGTGCGGGTGTGGTTTGGTTTGGTAGCCGGCTTGTCTGTGGGATGGCTCTGTGACTGTCCCACAGAGGATGACGACTGCCCAGGGGCATCCTGACCATTCTCAGGGTGGAAGCGTGAGTTTGTGGGGCCTCGCTGCTCTGTGAGACACTGGGTCTATTCTGGAAGTCAGGCTCATTTTATGTGCACTTCCTTTGAGCAACTCTCTCTTTTAAATCATGCACATTATGTATCTTCCTTTGGCCACCTTCTTATGGGTGCCAGTAATTCTATGACCTTTACAGTAACTCTCAGCCCTCTAGTAGTGAGACTGGAAAGGCTTACTAAAGCAGTCGCCGGGTCTTTGGGCCTTGCCCAGTGGTTACAAATCGGGCTGTTTCCTGGAGGAAAAACACAGGGCTTTCTACTCCCACAGAAAGTTACCACCTCAGAAACTCAGGGGGCAGGTCTGCCCTGTCCTATGGGGTCGCTGTGAGTCAGAATAGACTGGACAGCAGTGGTTCGTGGCTTTGAGGAATGAAGGGCATGTTCTACCGGGGCAGAGAGAGCGGTGAGACCACTGTGTGTCTTTAGCTTTTCTTCTTGGGCTAATTTCATCTGTTTGAAATCTCAGCTGTATCCTTGGGGATCAATGCTGAGTCAGAGGGAATGTACATCTGTTTTTCTCTCGGAGTGTATGTGTAAGAGAGAAAGAATGAGAAAAAATATACGAAACTTGTTTGCATTTGCATTGCTTCATAGATTTGACTTTGTGTGTGTGTGTGAGAAAGGAGAATGGGGGAACAAGGACTCAGTTTATTGGGAAAGTTAAGGTCTAGTTGCTAGGGGTACATATTTCAAATGCATTTAAAATGAAAAATTATCATAAAATCATGTTATTTTGTATCCTGCACAGGAACCACAGCCCACTAATGAGCTTCGGAGCCAGCTTCGTCAGCTTTTTGGTACGTTGACATGGGGAGAGGTATTGGCATGAAGGAAATAAATATGTAAAATATGTCTGTTAGTGGCCGCTGCTGAATCAACTGACGTGCAATGTTTTTGCCTGTTGGTCAGTCTATAACTTCTCTTCCTAATTTAAGAAATAAAATGCTTAGAGGTGGTTTATGTATTTTTCAGCCCAAATGCTTTTTGAAACAAGAATGGAATTGAAAGACCTCTCCAAAAGTTCAAATAGCATTTAGGGTCATTAGAGGGTGGGGCAGGGGCACTGGGGACATCTGAGTTTGGATCACGAAGGCGTGTTCCGAAGGTCCTGGGTGAGTGTGGCTTGGAAGATGAGTTAGACTGGCAGAGAACCTTGTCAGTATCATTGTGAAAAGCTAGTGTTTACGGCGGGAGAACGAGGAGGCCTTCCGCCCCCGTAGAGATGTCCAGTCTCGGGAACCTGCAGGGCCGGTCTACTCTCTCCTGGAGGGTCCTGTGAGGCAGCATCCACTCCATGGCAGTGCGTTTGGCTTAGACTGTTTAGGAGTTGAGGGGATTGGTTGCCTTCGGGCCTCAAAGCCCATTGGGCAACGTAGACAGTGGATGCTTTCACTTTTCAGAAGCTCTTGCCACTTCACAGAAGCTGTCTGTCAACATCTATTTTGAAGCCAATGCCCGTCGAGTTATGTAACAGCCAGCAGAAGCAACAGCGAAGTCAGAGGTGGAGACAGAGAGGAGGGAAAGGGAGAGGACCCGGAGATTGGAGATTTGGGAGAATGTAAGAAAATGGGCACGCGGGGCGCAAGCTGTTCATCCTCCAGTCACCAGTTATGGCCACGAGAACGGGAGACCTAGCGTGGGAGCATAGATGGACCCCGAGCGGTACGAACGGTTTGTACCTGACTGCTCCCGGAAAGGTTGGCGCTTTGAATCCATCCAGGAAGGCCACAGAAGAAGGCCTGTGATCTACTTCCATAAGATGACATAAGTCCTAGAAAGCCCTGTGGAGCACACAGCTCTACTTAGACATACATGGGGTGGCCATGAGTCAGGTTTGACTGAACGGTAACAGGCTCATTTGTAAGGAAGTGTAGTCTTGAACTTAAGGAAAATGGTACTTGGTGGGGATCATAAAATTGGTACCCACTTACCTACAGGGGCTTTCAGGAAGGCATCACCAGTGAGTCTTGCTCTGAAGGAGATGGGGTGGGCCCAAGAGACCCCTGGCCTTTAGAGCCAGGGTCGAGATGGCAGCGGCTTCAGAGGACGGCTGGGAAGAAAAGGGCGCTGGGGGGGCTTGGGCAGAGTGTAGTGGATGGAAAAGTAGTTCAGAGCCACGCTGCTCAGAATGGCAGAGTGGGGGCGTGAGGGAAATGGAGAGTCAGGCACAAGGTCATCAGGTCCCTCTGCAAATGAGTCTCCTGCAGCCCCTTGGCTCTGCTTCTGGGAAGCTTTGCTCTTTGCTGCATAAAAGTAACGGCTTTTGAACAGAGATGAGATTGCTCCTCCCTGGTCCATCGTGGCCTGAAAAAGCTGCCGGGAGCAGGTGCCTGGAAGCTAGCCATCAGTAGAACTTATAAGATGAATTCCTGCCATTGTCTCTCCTGTAAAGACGGATGATATTCACAGAACACCAGCGAGCTGCTGTTTCATTAGAATTTCTGTGCAGGACTCAATGGAGCCAGGCATCCACGTGGGCAAAGCAGACCTTTAAACTGAGTGGAACAATTTGAAAGGAGACAGGTTTTTCTTTCCTCTTTAACCAACAACATGGTAAAACAATCATTGCAAGGACGCTTTAGTACCGTTTCTTTCCCCTTCAAGTTGTTGTCAGAAAGGTATCTTCTTGTTTTATGTTGCAATTGTACTTTAAGTGGCTTAGTGGGCTCCACACTGAGATGCTAACCACAAGGTCCACAGTTCGAACCCACCAGCCACTCAGGAGAAAGCTTTCTACTCCCATAAGGAGTTACAGTTTCCAAAACCCACAAGGGCAGTTTTCTACCTTGCCCCGTAGCGTCGCTATGAGTTGGAATTAACTCAGAAACAGTGAGTTCTTGAGAATTTTAAGATGAATTAAAGAATATGCTGTAACATGCTGATTATTGTACTTGCCACAAATAATCTTTTATGATTCACCGGCCCTCAGTCTGGAGTTTCATTGCAGGAAATTGTCCTACATTTTTAGATATTTACTAATTCTCCTTCCTTCATTTTCCCCCTTCTTTTCTTCATCTTTCTTTCTCTGCCCTTCCTTTCCCTCCTGTCTGATGTCCTTCCCTCTTCCCTCAGAATGCCATGATGACGTTTGAGGAAGAGAAAATGCAAGTGGCCTGCGATGATTTAAAAACTACAGAAAAGCTGTGTGAAAGTGAAGAGGCCGGGGTCATAGAAACCATCAAGAATAAGATCAAGAAGAACGTAAGTCACGGGCCGTGCAGCTGGGCACCGTCGGCCTGGCTCGAAGCATGACTCCTGGCCTGGTCCGTTTGAGGTAGAATTGACTGGAAGAAGCAAAGAGGCACTGGATGTTTATTGTGGCTTCTGATGATGTGTATGGCATCACCGTTCTGGAAACAGTGGAAGCCCCATTGAGTCATTGAGTGCATGTTCTCTTGGTGCCAGAAAGCATTACTACAAACGACGAAATGGAGTCTCAGTAGATTGACATTTGCCCAAGATATCACAGTAGTAGTGAGTGCTAGGGCTAGATTTGGGGCGGGAAACCCAGTAACCATTGTGGATGAGGCTGAAATCTAGAAAAAGTGGGACAGATCCTTCTGCCGGTGTCCTGACATATTTTTTTTTTAATTTAATCATGTTATTGGGGGCTCATACAACTCTTATCACCATCCATGCATACATCCATTGTGCCAAGCATATTTGTATATTTGTTGCCATCATCCTTCTCAAAACATTTTCTTTCTGCTTGAGCCCTTGGCATCAGCTCATGTTTCCCCCCCCTCCCCCATGAACCCTTGATAATATATAAATTATTATTTTGTCATATCTTGCACCGTCTGACATCTCCTTTCAGCTACTTTTCAGTTGTCCATCCCCCAGGGAGGAGGTTATATGTAGATCCTTGTGATCGGTTCCCCCTGTTTTCCCCACCCTCGTCTTTGCATATTTTTAAAAGTCCCGTGACACGTCTGTTTACTTCTTCCATCATTGTGAAAGCTCTTTAGCTTATCATGCTTAGTTTTGCTGTGTATTAAGAACAGAAAACATTCTTTGGCACAGTGCGAGTCCTGGTGAGAGTGGCTCAGGCAAGAGGCTGCTAACCACAAGGCCAGCCGTTCAAACTCACTAGCCATCGCAGTAAAGACGGGCTGCCTCGAGACGTGACGTCTCCACCCTAGATCACAGCGCTATAGAGGGCAGCTCTGAAGATGTGGTTCGGGGCGTGCGGCCGGTCTGACTCCCCCACATGGTGGCAAAGCAGGAGGGGCATACAACAGAGCAGCAATGGAAACAAAGCTACAAAGTTCTGGAAGAATCCCAAAAATAGACTTGTGACGTGGGGCTCGGCACTTGGCACCTCATCTGAACTGGTTGGGAGATAGTCACAAAGGTCAGCAGTTAGACCTGGAACTATTTATATGTCTTGTTTTGTTTTTTTAAGAGAGACAAGACAAGCAATCTCCAGGAGACAGCAATGGGACCAACGGTTCCAGGGTGGCCTGGACGAGGGGGAGATAGGGGAGGGAATGGTGAGCCAACATGCCAGGGAGAGGGGAATAACAAGGGATCCAAAATTCATGGCGATGATGGTGTAGGGTTCCTGGTGATGTTTGATTAATTTAGATGCACCTGAGAGGAATTACTGAGAGACAAATGATGGGCGATCATGATATAGTGGGCAGGAGGAAAGAAAAATAGAGGAAAAACATAGAAGTAAACATTATTCATATGTATATACACTGATACTGTAAGTAAATACAATGAGGCAGCTGATGGACTTTGGGCTTCTACTTAAGTTCTGCCTCAGGATTAGAATGGTTTGTTCTCATAGCGTGGCAATGTATGATACTCATCTTCCCCACGCGATCGCTGAAGACAAAAAAGGTGCAAAAGCAAATGTGGTGAAGAAAGCCGATGGTGCCCAGCTATGAAAAGACAGCACGTGGGGGTCTTAAAAGCTTGAAGTCAAACAAGCAGTCATCTCGCAGTGAAGTAACAAAGCCCACATGGAAGAAGCACGCCAGCCTGTGTGACCTTGAGTTGTTGAAGGGAATAGGTATCAGAAGCTCAAAAACAAGCAATCACATCGACATGAAGGAGCACAGGCAATGTGGAGACCCAAGGCCCACCTGTTAGACAATTGGACAGTCCCTCACGGAGGGGTCATATCCAGGGTGCAGTAGAGCACTGATAAAACACATAACTATCCTCTAGTTCTTTTTAGGTTTCCTCCTCCCACTATCATGGCCTTAGTTGTACCTCACTAATCTTGCTAGACCTGTGTATGTATATTGGTACAAATAAGAGCTTTCGATGTAGAAAATCCAAGATAGATAACTCCCTCTAAAACAGTAATGGGAGTAATGATTCCTTGAGGGTACGGGAAAAGAAGGGGGTGGAGAAACGGGGAAAGGGGAAACTGAAAGCAACGATGACTATATAACCCCACTTGCGGAGAACAAACATCAGAATTTTAGGTGAATGAATACATTGGAAGGTGTAAGTTATGCCAAAAACCTATAATAATACATGTTAAGGGTTCAGCAGGGTGGTAGGGTGGGGAAGGGAGGGGATATAGGGGAGCTGATATCAAGGAGTTCAAGAAGGAAGAAAATGTACTGAAAATGATGATGGCTGCAATTGTATACCTATGCTGGATCCAGTGGACCTACGGGTTGCAATTACATGTGTAAGAGCACCTAATAAAATGTTAAAAAATACAAATTAATTAAAAAAAATATGGGCTGCCTGCTCTCTTAAAGATCCATGTCAGAAACCCCAAGGAGCAGTTCAGCTGCCTTACAGGGTCACTGCGAGTCAGGATTACTTCATGGTAGCAGGTATTGGGTTTGGGGGTCACTG